TGCTATACCGTAGACTATTTCTCAATTAGGTTTCACATTGACCGCAGACACTGTTAGACACTAACCTTTTTGAGGACTTATAAGCACTGTACCTCAACATGGTGTTATTCTAGAGCGTAATTCGGAATGGTCTATTAGTTTTTGCTCTTAATTCAGGTCTCCACTGTACATATCCTGATAAACGTATTTTTATATTTTATTTTGTTTTGTTTAATTATGTTATTACAGTACTAACGGCTTATTGACCGAGCGTGAGGTCTGTACTGTGAAATATCAGACCGAGGTTTTTTAGTATGGACCGAGCGACGAAGGAGCGAGGTCCATGCAAAAAACAGAGGTCTGATATTTCATAGTACAGACCGAAAGGCGAGGTCAATAATTGGTTTATTATATGACTGAACAAGGCTGAACTGAGTGTCTGAGTCTATCAGCATATGCTTTTCGCGAGAATTAAATCGGTTATCGTCAGTTTCACTGGGTAACAATATACGGTAGGCATACATACTCAATCAAAAACAATTTGGTTGTTTGAAATTTTAATCTGTAAATTTTAATGACACACAATTGGAAAATTAAAAAGCAAAAATTTTTTCTGTAATTTGCAAAGCAAAAATTTCCTGCCAGATAAACGACATCCGGGACACCGGTCCAGATACGAAAAATACAGACCACGGTCCGGATATGGGTTTTTACGGACCGCTTGTCAACCAATCAGAATAGAGAATTTTGAAAAGCCATATAATAATAGATTATATTAAATATATGAAACCGGCAAAGGCTTGAGTCCTGACGTATTTTTTTAACAAACGTTAGACAGTTGTGAAAATCACTAAAAACACGAGTATAAAAAACATACTCTGAAATAACAAAAGACGTTCATGGCATAAGTTTAATTTAATGCGTATCATATTAATGAAGTTGTAGCATTCCCCATTCCCGCATTTCCCCATTCATTTAAAGATAGCCCCAAATTCGAGTCCTAATTGGCGCTTAAATGGTTAAAAGCCACAGCTCCGGAGGTGTTCCGGTGGTTTTCCGGGCCGTTTCCAACTGTTCCGGACTGTTCCGTTCTATTCCGGTGGTGTTCCGGGCTGTTCCGCAGGCGTTCCGTGCTGTTCCGTGCTGTTCCGCAGGCGTTCCGTGCTGTTCCGGAGGTGTTCTGGGTTGTTCCGTAGGTGTTCCGGACTGTTCCGTACTGTTCCGTAGGTGTTCCGCCATGTTTCGTAGGTGTTCCTGGCTGTTCCGGGCTGTTCCGCAGGTGTTCGGGGCTGTTCGGTGCTGTTCCGGAGGTGTTCGGGGATGTTTCGGAGGTGTTCCGGACTGTTCCGTGCTGTTCCGCCATGTTCCGGAGGTGTTCCAGACTGTTCCGTGCTGTTCCGTAGGTGTTCCGGGCTGTTTCGCGCTGTTCCGGGCTGTTCCGTAGGTGTTCCGGGCTGTTCCGTAGGTGTTCCGGGCTGTTCCGGAGGTGTTCCGGGCTGTTCCGGAGGTGTTCCGGGCTGTTCCGGTGTTCCGGATTGGTGTTCCGTGTTTTAGTACATGCCTAGAATTCCCACAGCAGAGGATATTGCCACTCGCCTTAGTGGTAAGAAGTTATTCTCCATAGTGGATGAAAAAGATGGGTTTTGGCAGATCCACCTACAATCCTTCACAAAATATATTGAGACTTGCATATTTATCTATAAAATGAGCAAATTTCTACCATCAAGAGCTCGTCCTTCCCCTCCTCCCCCTTAAAAACAATGTTGACTGTTATTGCAAGCTTTGTGCTTAAGAATTTCAACTCAATCACGAGCAACATTGCTCTGTAGGGGGGAGGGGAGAGGAAATTACACTTTCACATGGGTAGTCTCATAATTTTTGTGAAGGATTGTCTGAAATTTAGGAGAAATTGGGAAAGGGTACTCGGTCTTCTTTATTTTTTTGACATGTTCTTTTGAGCATTTAGCTTAGTACACAAGTAACGTAAGAAAAACAAACAGTTTGGGTTTGTAAGAAACTGGTGATAGGGGGGGGAGGGGAAGGGAGGCAGGGGGGGTTATACTGCCCTCCAATACTGTTTATATTGATTATTCTTGGAGCTTTTCAATCATGGCAAGAAACAAATTGTACGTCCTTCATGCAGAAGCTTATCATTTCTGCAATTTGAATAAAAACAGAAAGGTCTAAGATAAATCCCAAATCAATAACTTTGAAATATTAATTTAAAGATGCTGTAAAGTCCGTTCTGTGCATCAGTTGTGCTCATAACAAACGGGACCCGCAGATATAAACATATACATTGCCAAAATTTTTGCATCTTTCTAAATTTTCGAATTGAAACGTGGAGTTTATATAATTTACAAGCATAGCGAACCAGAAAAGTGTTAGATATTCAGTTAGTATATTAACATGTCTTACAAATATAGCAGTTCAAAAATATGTAAACAAGGCGTTTGTTCACATTTATACGGACTTTACAGCATCTTTAAAGACGAGAATTGCTAAATTTGTTCAAACAAAATGAACGTCGTACTTACCAAACAGAAAACTCGACTTTATCAACGGCTTCTAACAAAATAAGAATGATTTACATTTGCAACACTTCCGATTTCCTGCAGGTTTTGTTGTTGTTTTTAATTTATGCAATTATTTATTCTGCTACTTTATCATGCTTTACATGAAGTTTACGATCAGGGCTATTTCGGATCCTTCAGAGATCTTACATTGTTTGTTTTGAATAGTTTCTTCCAAAGTATATTTACAATGTCTGAAACAAATTTACAAAACCCACGTTCAGGAAGGCGTCAGTATCTCATTACCTACTCACAAGCCGATATAAGTAAGTTCCCCACGAGAGAGAGTTTTGGTAAAATGCTGGAAAACGAGTTCAATGCAGGGTCTAGCCAAGTCAAGGTGTCACATTGGGCCTGCTGTAAGGAGCCACATGAAGAAAATGGCTTTCATTATCATTGCTGTTTGAAGCAGACAGGGGTAAAAAAGTGGTTGTCAATTAAGAACGCAATCACAAAGAAACATGACATAGTGGTTAACTTCTCAGATCATAATCAGTACATATATGCGTACCGTTATGTCTGTAAAACTGACAAGGACGTTGCTCATAGTGACAATCATCCTGACCTTTCCGAAGTGGGATCTCCACGCACTAAAGCTTCAACTGTAGCTCTTCGAGAAGCGGGCCGAAAAAGAAGGTCGACCAATACAAACGCGGAGGCGACAGCCAGTCGTGAAAGAGGAAATCAGAAAAGACGGCACCTTAGTAATCTTGAAGTGGGTGATTTCATTGTTGCTAACAACATCACCACTGTGCAACAGCTATTTGCTAAGGCTGATGCTAGAAAGCAGGAGGGTGAAAGCGATCTCGCTAATTTCTTGTTCTCCCGAACGCAGAAAACCATTGCCGAGCTGATGAGCAAGTCGTGGTTGCTGAAGCAGGCGTCTTCAGAAATACAGCGAGACGAAATCACAAGAATCGAAAAAGTTAGAAATGCAGCGGAAAATGCCTGCGTTGATGGGTGCAACGGTAGTTGGCTTGAGTGTGCCATAGAAGTGCTTTCGCTGAATGGTATAGAATTAACTGTTTTTGCCTCGTACATATTTGAGCTTCTAGCTCGAGGTCGGGGGAAATTCAGAAATCTGATGATCTACGGTCAAACCAACTGCGCCAAAACGTTTATGTTGAAGCCCTTGAAGTGCATCTTTGATGACCGATTGTTTGACAATCCTGCGAATGACAAGTACGCTTGGGTTGGTGCCGACAAGGCAGAGGTGATTCTCTTGCAAGATTTTCGCTTCAGCAAAGAAGTCATCACATGGAAAGATCTCCTTCTCCTACTTGAAGGAGAGACGGTTAAGCTACCTGCTCCCAAGAATCATTTTGCCAATGATGTTGTCATATCTTCTGATGTCCCGATTTTCGCAACGTCAAAAGCACCTATAGTGTACAAAGGGCCTTACAACGTGGAAGACGAGCGTGAAACAGAGATGATGAACAGTCGTTGGAGAATGATTCGCTTCAAACATGCATTCGAGGAGAAAGATCAAAAGAAGGTGGAGCCGTGCGGAAGTTGTTTTGCTAGGCTTGTACTATTGGGAGAGAAGTGATATAAACATTCAAAATAACTTTGTTCAATAATTTTGGCTTACTGAGGACCAAATTTAAACGGAAAATTTTAAAACAGTTATGTTTGACTATATAGTTACGTTATATATATGTACGAATGTGCTTTGCACGAGTTACCAACGAGTTACCAACGAGTTACCCACGAGTTACCCTAAAGTGAATCAATACACTTTTTACTATAATATAACGAGTTACCACTAAAAAAATTAGAAAAAAAAATAAACTATTTTTCTAAATTTTTAAGTGGCAACTTGTGGTAACTCATTCTATTATAGTGAAAAGTATATTGATTTTTAGGGTAACTCGTGGGTAACTCGTTGGTAACTCGTTCGTTATCAAACAGTTTATTACTTATAAAGTTTATAATGCAATGCATAACAACATAAGTTTAAATTCAGTAGAATCCTATTTAACTTGGCTTAAATACTGATGATAATAATGGCATTTAAAGGACATTACACACTTAAATTGCCACAAAATTTAATATTTAATGCGTTGCCCTTTTGACTTGATCACCATGTCAATGCGTTTGTCCATGGACTCAATTGTCCTGTCAATAATTTCTGGCAAATAGTTCAACAAGGTCGCTTTAACCCTTTTCCAAACCTGCGAATATGTCTCTTTCGTGATTTGTTTGCTCAATGCATCATCTTGCAATTGCCTCTTAACATTATGAAATCGTTTTCAATGGGATTCAAGTCTGGACTGCGAGCAGGAATAGTAAACTTTCTTGCGCCAACAGCAGACATTGCTAGTTCAGCTTTTTCGGCTGTTTTGGCTAGGATCGCCATCTTGCAGAAAGAGCTTGCCTTTCTTGTTTCAGCTGTTTGCAAAGAGAGTCGGAAATTGTTCGGGACAAAATCTCCAAATTTTTTACCATTCATGTGTCCTTCGTATTGTGTTCAGCCAGAATAACTCCTTTATTATGCGCTATCGCAACAACAAAAATTTGCTGTTTAACTGTCTCATCTGAAACATCTGTCCGTACGCCAGCAAAAACTTTGAGACGTTTTGTTGCAAAATGCCCGTAATCCCTTCGTAGTATCTCGACTTGTTGCAATATGTTGTGTTTGTCTTGTTTTGTTAGCTTTTGAGGGCGGCCTTTGTTATGTTTCCTTTTGTCGATAACAGAGTCGTCGATTTTTCGTTTCATGTGCCTGCAAATAGTAGCCTTGGTATACTTGTTATAGTCTTTTACATTTGCTATCTCTTTCCACGTTCTCTTTCCACGTTCTCTTTCCATCTTGGTGAAGGTAGCGCCAGTGAAGTGAAGCAATGAGTGGAACTCGTTGACGTTTGTTTGCAGGCTTCATTTCCCTAAGTTCCCTGTGTCATTTTATTTAAAAATGCCTGAGCTCTTTATTGAAAGTTTTATATAAGTGTCTAATTTTATATTATCAGAAATATATAATATGCATAGGAACGGTGAAGAGGATCAATCACCTATTTGCCTTTCTCTCTAATGCCATGTAGCTTTTAACTACATCCCTCAAGCCACCACCTTCCTTTTTTTCACCCCTCCCCCACCTACTTTGACTACCCCCTAAATACACATTGATAAACAAAAATAGCTAATTAACAAAATAAGGTTAGCAGCATGTGTGATGAGTTTACATTTTTGCGAAACACAAGAGTTTCGTGGGTGATGTCATCTATAAGAGGTTACGCCCCAAAAGCCACGCCCTACTCTGTGCGAAAAATGTTCTGTCAACGTGTGAACTTATTATGCGAACCAAGCAACACATGATAAGAAATATGCAACTTTTTTTACAATGAATTTGAAATTGTTTACAACACCAAATCTTATGATTTATTAAGACAATCCTTCACAAAATATATTGAGACTTGAATATTTATCTATAAAATCAGCAAATTTCTACCATCAAGAGCTCGTCCTCCCCCTTCAAAACAATGTTGACTGTTATTGCAAGCATTGTGCTTAAGAATTTCAACTCAATCATGAGCAACATTGCTCTGTAGGGGGGAGGGGAGAGGAAATTACACTTTCACATGGGTAGTTTCATAATTTTTGTGAAGGATTGTAGTATGATAGATGTTGGCATGTTTATAAATGACTGCCACATGGTGGGGCACATTTTCTTCAAACAAAGTTTGTAAATGGATGGACAGTCTTAGAAGTGTTAACTATAACTGAGTCTATATCAATCAAAACGAAGCTTTAAAACCGAAAAGGGCAATCAAAACGAAGCTTTAAAAGCGAAACGGCAATCAAAACGGTAAAAATGAAACCAAAATGCAAATTATTTAACAAACAAATGCCATTTAAATATGGGACTATATATTCGAAATATGGTCCGGTTGTAAGAATTGGCATTGTAAGAATTGGCATCATGTTTTTAACAATTTAAACATAGAGTACTTGTCGACGTTGTCTTGTAGTTCCAGTAAGATTTGAGAATCAAATTAGGAGTAAAAACGTAATACTGTACAGTGCAAAGTGACAAAATATAACTTACATTGTTAATTCTGCTAGCATCTGTCTTGAATCATGTTGATTGAACCCCATGGAACAATGAAACATGAACATACTGTATTTATCACAAAAAAAATCAATTATACTAGTCTCATATAGTCGACAATATGAGCGGCCACCACTTAATCCCTGCCGTTTCATAAAACGTTTTAGCCAAGTTACTTGTGTGCTTTGGCTCATTGTCTTGCATTTGGCTCATTGGCTCATTGTCTTGCATTGTCTCCCGTGAGTGCTGTGATTGTCGGGGAAAACATTCTTGATGAAGGGTAACATATGTGGCCGCAGGTCGCCTTCAATAAAAAATGGTGCATCCATGATGCCTAAGAATATAGCCATTTTGCTGATGCCGCATCTTGAGAACCCAGCCCGTATATGAACTTTGACTGGATGTTTTTGTTGGCCTTTTAGATGATTGGTGAAAAGTAATTTTGGAATGGCGCTCCAAGGCAATACTGCTCTCATCTGTAAAAATGACGTCATTAAACTCTACTTCATGGCTGTTAATTCTTTAGACTCAATTTGCTTCTCTCACAAGCTAACAAAATTTTGTCCCAGTTGACAACCATCCAAGTCTAGGGCAAGTGCGGCATACGGTCGATTCAGAGATTTTCAATTGAAAATGTTCCCAAATCATTTTCACCAGATCATGTGGAAGTCGTTTCATCGTTTTCCTCCATCTTTCTGTCGATAAACTCCACAATCTCATCACTCTTCTTTTTAAAAGGATGCTGAATCGGGATGATCAGTTTGCAAAGCTCTCCGGTTCTTTCATACGTACGAAGAAATTTGGCGACATGGCGCCTCCCAATTGAAAAGCCATTTTCTTTCAAATTTTTCAAAATATCACACAATGAAATCCTTCGCGGTGTAGACAAATGACTTTAAGTTTTAGCTCGACCGTTAATCGAGGCATTTCTAATTGTTTGTAGTGTTACAAGCTTGGATGAGTAAAATTATGTTGTGTGAAATACTTAGGAGTCCTCTTGGTAAAGGGTTGATGGGGCCAATGCACTCCATTAGCTCTATGCTAGCATTACTTGTCACACATTCTAAATCAGCTACAGATCACTGTTTCATATACAGTGTAAAACAGATATGTTACTGAGCCTTATTTCAAGGGGTAACTAACTTTTTTTATTTTGTTTTATTCTAATGCCACACAATTTTACTCATACACTATCTGAGGAGTTTTGGGAGTAAATTATTACCATCTAAACAACACTAATTAGACCCTATTCAGCTTCGTCCCATTTCAAGTTTTGTTCACTCTTTTGATAAATGGTTTCTTTTCAAGTTAAATGATATTTGGGTCTGAAACTATGTTTTCTTATTAGAATGACACTGAAGACTAATAAATATTACATCTCTCAAAAGTGTAAATATACATTGGAATGGGAAAATTGCATACCAAGCCGAGGAGCTCTATTGACAGGTTAATATGTCTTGTTTTACACTGAGTAAAATAATGCACTCTTGTTTCAACCTGATTTATGCCTCAATCAAGTAGCAATTGCACCCAAATGCATCTTAATTATGATATTACTCTTCAAGAGGAAAGTCTTTTGTGCTAATGAGTTAAATGACAATGTGCCTTGATGCACCCTATTCACAGGCTTTAGAACAAATTCAATTACCCTTTCTCATGCTATGTAACCAGGCCTTATTACTTATAACTGGGCCAAAGGGCAACAACAAGACAAAACTAGATTTGGCATCGAGGAAAGCTATTACGTTTGAGCTGAATTTTTACTTTTGAACAATTACTTTGGGACAAGTTGGAAACTTTTATTACTTGAAAAAGAACGTAGAATGTTTCGGACTTACATCACCTTGCGCCCTCCCTCCCTCCCCACACCACACAATGTTGGTACAACAGGATATGATATTCATGAGTATTTTACAACATTTTCAGATAAGAGATACTACAGGAAACCAACATTGTAAGGTGGGGGGAGGGGATTGGTAGCATTTAAGTATGATTGTATACATCCTTAGGCTCGGTTCCAGCTGTTCCCTCTTGGGGGCTCTCTTGGAGGGAACGGCTGGGAGCATGCAGTGCACATTGTTCCGTTTAGCCAATCAAAGTACTAGCACTGCAAATCGCGGTGCTAAATAATTATCATAATTATGTCTCGTATTATATAATCGATATGGCCGCCTTTGAGGACTGTTGTCAGGAATTTCTTCAAATGTTTGGCTTAAATAAATTTAAAAATACACAAATAATAGCTTTAAAAGATCTGCTATTGGGCAAAGATGTGTTTGTCAACCAACCAACTGGTCCAGGGAAGTCTTTGATATTTCAAGCCTTTCCAATTCTTTTTGATATGGTGAAACGTTCTCCGTCGAGAAGCAACACTATTGTACTTGTGATCTCCCCACTTGTTTCACTTATGCAGGATCAAGTTTCTTTCCTCAAAAGCAAAGGAATCCGTGCTGCATATATTGGAGAAGAACAGGCCGATGAACGTGTTAAAAAGGATGTAGAAAATGGAACATTTCAACTCGTATACGGCTCTCCAGAGTCTTTTCTTCAAAATCAACACTGGCGAAAGGTGCTTGCAACGGATGTATACCATAACAATGTGAAATTAATAGCTGTGGATGAAGCGCACTGCATTTCTGACTGGGGATTTTCTCCTCGAAAAGGCGAAAAGATATTCCACGTTTGGTTTAGCAGGATTAACGAATTGCGATCAATTGTTCCCGGTGGTGTCCCCTTGGTTGCATTGACAGCAACTGCTACAAAAAGAACAAGGGAATGCATCATGCATGCACTAGAAATGAAGAATGCAACTATTATAAAATATTTCCCTGATAAGCCCAACATTACGTATTCTGTTCAAATTGTTGGCACCAAAACATTGGAAACGTTCCACTCACTTATTGCAGAGGTTGAACAACAGGGAGCAGCATGTGATCGAGTTATTATTTACTGCCAAACAATTAAAATAACAACCATGATTTATGCACATTTTCAAGCAGAATTAGGACAAAATATGTACAAGGGTAATATAGAAGACCCCAAGAATCGCCTTGTTGAAATGTTCCATGCTCGTACTGATGAACTTAATAAGTGTCACATCCTGGTTGTTTACCATTTACAAGGAAAACCCATCCGGTTTGAAATTGTGCTAATGGTAAGCAAAATTTCGGATAGAAAATCCCATTCGGATTATGCGCTTTCCATTTAGAGTGACTGACAGGAAGGCACTGAAGGGTTGTTTACCATTTACATGGAAAACCCATTTGGTCTGAATTAAATTGCGAAGAGCCTGGAACTGGTGTAAAAATAAAAAAGATGTAAATGGAACAAAATTCACCAGTTGAAACGTTCCAATCGGTAAGAGAGGACAACCTTTTCAAACAAACCGTTTATTCCAGAAAAATTCCGGTTGGGCCGTCGAAATATGCTTGTTCCATTTACTTTCCGTATGGAATCACCGGAATTTCCATGTAAATGGTAAACAACCCCTGTCTTCCTTTGCACATGAAAATGGTTGTATACGTGTATTGATTGCAACAATTGCATATGGAATGGGCATTGATTGTAAGGCTGTTAAGACAATCATTCATTATGGCCCATCTCGGAATTTGAAAGCATATTTACAAGAAAGTGGACGAGCTGGTAGAGATCAAATTTCTCAGTGTCAAGCAATAATATTGTACAACAATGTAATGCTCAAATACTGTGATGAAGATATTGTTGCCAACAAAAGTGTATCTGTGATGTTGGGTGTGGCAGTTTACTATTGTTTTCAAAATTGCATAATGACTGTAAGACAGTGTCAAGATCAAGAAATATAAGTGATGAGCAGAAATCAATCCTTACATGTAAACTGGAATATCTCAAGCAATACTATCTCGGTCGGCTTGTTAATTCAGATGAAAGCTTTCATGGTCATTTACTTACTCCGATTAATTTTATATGTAGCTTTAATGACATACAGGAAAGCCAAGTACTACAGCATTGCACAAAATTGTTCACATTGCATGACATCTATTCATATATTGACATTTGGGAACCAGATGTTTGCCATGATGTTTGCAATGATGTTTGCCATTACACTTAATTTTTGGAGATGTTGATTATAAAGAATGCACAACTTCAAATGATGAATCTACTGAAATTCAATGTGCTCAAGTTCAAGAAATGATGGATGCATGGCATCTGACATCAGATGATGAACTTTTATTGGAATTTCCAGATGAATTTTCCAATTTATCAGATGAGCATTGAATGCATATGAATTTTGTGACTGAAAAACCACATGATACTATATTCTTTGAACAATCCATACAATTAAACAAAACTGCCAGGACTTCATAACAGGTCAGAAAAATAATCTATATACGGTATCTTTTAAGACAAACAGTCAATGTTTAAATTAAAGTGTGATATTATTTTAGGTGTGATGTGGGCCAAATATTACAAATCACCAAACTTGAAAAAATTCTGTCCAGACCAAGTTCATTTTGAATCTAAAACATTGGGCCCTGATGCACCCTAGCTGCTTTATTATTTCACTCTAAGGCTAGAGAATTTTACTTGTCAAGTGGAGATTGCTGGCGCTTAACCGGTTAACTATCCTATCTGCCTATGTGTCTAGTTAACCCATTGTGTCTCATTGCGCCCTACTTTATTATTTTACTCTGTCTAACGCCAGACTATTTTACTCTGTCTAATGCCAGATGATTTTACTCGTCAAGGGGAGAGTGCTGGCGCTTAATGGGTTATTATATTTCTTATTATTAGCATCACAAAATTACTGGATGCTGATTGGTTGAGAGGCGTACAATTATTTCATTAATAGTACTGCAGTACAATTAATGATTTTCCCAAAACAAACAAAATGGCGGAAAGGTATTTTAAACACAAGCGTGAAATGAAATTGCCGTGCAGGAACTAGATGAAAATAAGAACAAAAGCATCAAATTTTGCTTTGAACAAAAGAACTAAATGAAAATACAAACAAAAGCACCAAATTTTGGTTGAAAGTCTGGCAGGACTGGACTTTGGCGAGAATATGATGTTGACATTGAGAAGTAGTGAACTAGTATTTGGCAAAATTTCCAAACATCACTCGTACTATTAATCCCTAATTGTACTCGCCATCGCATGATTACCTATACAAATAGTGACCATTGGCTTAAACCAGTCGAAAAAAGCATTTTTCATGATAGCAGGCAATATATGTTTATTATAATACAGTCACACCATTTATGATTGATTACTTTTGTTCATAATCATTAAATCTATTTTTCGCTGTCAGGCAGGAGCTAAGCAGTTGAGCTCCAAGACAAAGTCAGAAGTTTTACCTTAACACTAGATTATTATGGCTCTAACAATTAAGTCCTTTAAAGAGCTTTGGACAAAAGAGTTAATGCCTGCATTTAAAAGCGAAATATTAAACGATTTGAAGCGTGAAATTAGAAACGAAATTCAAAATGTTGTGCAACGATTTGAAACCCAAATAGACGAGGTGAAAAATCAGATTCAAGGAGTTGAAACATCGCAGTCATTCATCTCGGATAAGTATGAAAACGTGATAGAGGTTACTCAGAGTATAAAGAAAGAAATGAAAACGGTTCAGAGTCATTGTAAAGAATCGGGAGAAAGATTAGAGTATTTAGAGCAAGAAGCTTCGCACAACATGGCCGTGCTCGATGAAGTGCAACAATACCTCAGACGTGACTGCTTGGAGATAACTGGCATACCAATTATACCATTAGACGACCCAAGTACTCTAGTATTAGAAGTTTGTTCAGCAATGGATATAGAATTACAAGATGATGACATATCAATTGCTCACAGGCTTCCTTCTACAACGAAGGTTAAAGACAGAATTATTGTTAAATTTGTTAAGCGAAGCAAGCGAGACGAGGTCTACAAGTATAGATCAAAACTAAGAGGCAAATCAACAGCAAATTTACCCACAGTCAACGCCGAAATACAGGAAGGCTCAATTCGAAGATCTACTAAAATTCATATCAATGAATCGCTAACTGGTTACAGAAGAAGGCTATTTGGGAAAGTTAACGCGTTTAAGAACACAAACAAATACAAGTTTATATGGACAACCAATGGTACAATCCACTTACGGGAAACAGAATCGTCTTCAATATATCATTTTAATACATTGGCAGATTATGAAAACTTTATTAGATCAAGTCAGCAAACTGAAGACTATAACTGAAGACAGCAGATAAGTTTGTTATAATAATTGAAATACAATTAGTTCATATGAACTATATATGTATATAGCTACTGACAGTTTTATATCATTACTATGTCTAGAATAGAAAACAATCTCCTTATGGAACTTCCCTTTTCAAATTTAACTGATTTTGAATTCAGAGCTGTAACTGGCTCGTGGCATTTTGATTTAAATAATCTAACAGATATAGATCTTTTCAATGTTATTTCAAATCCTGATAAATTCGATCAGAGGGATCCTGACAATATGCTTAGCTTGCCGAGTTCAAATTATTATTCAATAAATAAGCTGAATAACTATTTAAATATGTTAACTAATAAAAAAAGCATTTCTTTGTTTCACTGCAATATTAGAAGTTTGCCGAAAAATTTAAACCTCCTAGAAGAGTTCATCTACTCATTAAATGTCATGCCTATATCTGAAACAAAATTAAATGATAAAACTATCATCAATACTGATATACGACAATATCAGTTTTTCCACACAGATTCGAAAACGGCTGCTGGCAGTGCAGGACTGTATATATCCAAAGATCTGCATGCGATACCTCGGCCCGATATTAAGTTTAATATGGAACTTGTTGAATCTTGTTGGTCTGAAATTATTAATAATAACAAACCAAATGTTATTATTGGTTGCATCTATAGACATCCAAAAGCTAATATGTCAGATTTTACATTGGAGCTAGAAACAATCGTTAAAAAATTGAATGAAAAAAATCAAACAATTTACATAATGGGTGACATTAACATTGATTTTTTAAAGTATGGAAACCATCCCAACACAGAAGATTATTTAGATATGTTATTTTCTTACAATTTACTTCCTTTAATAACGAAGCCAACGAGAATAACAGATTACACATCCACTTTAATAGACCATATTTATACTAATGCACCTATCCATAACACTGTCTCTGGTATTTGTTTAATTGACATATCAGATCACCTACCAGTATTTTGTGTTTCTGATACGTTTACAAAAAAAAAGAAAGAGACCATGTATTTCCGTGATTATAGCAAGCTTAATAAAGAATTGTATCTAACTGATATGAGCTCAATTGATTGGCAAAGTGACCTAAATAATATACATGATCTTCATCAACTAACCACAAATTGTGTCAAAAAAGTTACTGAAGTTGTAAATAAACATGCACCATTAAGAAAAGCCTCTGTATCCAAAATGAAACAATTTACTAAACCCTGGATATCAAACGGCTTACTAACATCTATAAAAACGAAACAAAAATTATACAAGTCTAGTTGTTTTAGTGGTGACCCTGAAAAGGTAAAAAAATATAAAAAATATTCTAATCTACTTAATTATATAAAAAATAAAGCAAAAAAGGAATATTACAATAAAAGCTTTGAATTATATAAGAATAATATCAAAGAAACATGGAAACTTATTGGTACTATAATTAAAAGAAAAACAAAAGGCCAATTTAACTTTCCATCTAGACTGGTACGAAATAATGTGACGTATACGAAACCAACGGATATTGCCGAACAATATAATGATCACTTTGTCAATGTGGGTCCAAACCTTGCTAATTTAATTGATAGTACAGTTGATAATGATCCACTAAAATATATAAAATGTTCTCCTCTAAATAGTTTTTATTTATCACCGGTTGATGAAAACTATATAGCATATTTATTCTCTAACCTAAACGAAAGAAAGGCCTCCTTAGATTTACCAATCAAACTAATAAAGTTGGCAAACAAAGAGCTTTCAATACCATTTACTTTTATTTATAATCAGTCATTTATTCAGGGTATTGTTCCTGACATATTAAAAATTTCAAGGGTTACTCCTGTATTTAAGAATGGCATAACCACCAATGCTGCCAATTATAGACCAATAGCAATACTATCACCATTTAGTAAAATACTTGAAAAGATTATTTCCGACCAATTGAATTCGTTCTTAGAAAAAAATAATATTTTGTTTCCATATCAATTTGGGTTTAGAAAGGATTATTCTACGGAATTAGCCATATTAGAGATGAGTGACAACTTAAAAACTTCCATTGATAAAAAAATGATTACATGCGGGCTTTTCCTGGACTTTTCAAAAGCATTTGATACCGTTAATCACGATATTCTGCTTGATAAGTTGGGAAAGTATGGAGTCCGTGGGATAGCCCAAGACTGGTTTCGAAGCTACTTGCACAATAGATATCAATACGTAAAAATTGGAAATATAGAATCTAGCTTCCGAAATATTATATGCGGAATACCTCAAGGATCCACTTTAGGCCCATTGTTATTTTTATTATACATAAATGACTTGCCAAATTCATCAACGACGCTTTCCTTTCGATTGTTTGCTGATGATGCAAATATATTCTATGCCAGTAAAAATCTTAAGGAAATTGAAACAGTGATGAATAACGAATTTCAGAACATACTTAAATATTGCAATGCTAATAAGCTCTCTATTAATATGCAAAAAACACATTTTATGTTGATCCGCTCATCAAAGAAAACTATAACTTCAAAAATAGAAATACAGAATATTATACAAAAACAATGTATTAAATATCTAGGAATATATCTCGATGAGAAATTGAACTGGAAAAATCAAATAACTCATGTTAAAAGTAAAATATCAAAGAATTTGGGAATTTTCTATAAATTGCATAATTATTTATCGATAATTATGCTGAAGCAATTATACTATACCCTTATCTATCCATATTTATACTACGGGTCTATGAGTTGGGGAAATACTTAGCATACAAATCTAAAACAGTTGAAGTCTAAGCAAAATACTTGTGTTCGCAGTATCCTCTTTGCTAACAGAAAAGAATCTGCTTCGCAATATTTTCAACTACTTGGATTTTTAAAATTTGAAAATATTGTCAAATTAAAAATTGGATTGCTAGCACATAAATTATTTATGAATCCTACTACGGTTCCTTCTATATTTAACGACTTTCTATTACCAGTGACAAATGTTCATAATTATAATACCAGGAATGCAGCTAGATGTAATTTTTACCGACCACAAATAAGAACAAACTATGGAAAATTTACTTTCAAATACTCCGCTTCAGTGTTATGGGAAGGTATTCCTACCTGCTTGAAGAAAATATCAACAACAAATGGATTTAAGAGACAATATAAGATCAATTTAATGATTAATCAATGATGGTGCCATCCATTGTACTGTTTAAATTATTCTCCTAATATACAAAAAGTATTTGCATATATTTATAATGGCCGTTCTTCATATTTCCTTTCTTTTATTCCCGTTTAAATAATTTATAAAAATAAATTAACAAACAAATTATATTGCATACCACTAGAATTATGTAATTCAATAATTAGCTCAACCGCTTAGCTATTTATTTATACGTAGACGATGGTTAACTCGAAAGCTGATGCTCTTTTAACCGTCGTGCACGTTTGAAATATTTTCGTTCATTTTATCTTTTTCTTCTATATACTCAAAAAATGAATTAGTTATAGTTAATAATGTATATATATTAAATAGTGTGAATAAAGTGATTTGATTTGATTTGATTTGATTTTGAAATATCTATTCCAACGAATACAGTCATGAATTAAATATTAACATGAAATTCAGAGTTGGATAAAAATGTCCAAGAATTATGGATCATTATCTTGGCCTTTTTTCTTGTGCGACTTTTTTTTATGCCCGGTTATCCATGCGAATAAATCTTTAGAATCTAGCCTTTTTAAATAGTCCCGGGGACAATCAGGAAAAGATTTCATTGTTCTGCCTGGTTGCTGTTCAAACACATCTTGTTCATTTAAAGTTCTTACAATTTTATATAAATCTTGATTGATATCTTTCTTAGTGCATGTGTTCACCAGATGTGCTTTTAATGTTTATTTCAGAATCCAACTTCTTTATTACTTCCTTGCAAGCAAAGAAGGCATTTGATATTCTTGTTATGCTTGAACATGTCAAGTTGGCTCCAAGTCCTCGGCACATTTCCTTATATAGATGATTATCATGTTCAAGGTCAAGATCACATGGAACATTGTTACCTGCTCCACCTCTGTTGTTAACAGATCTATTCCAAGTAAGGCGTTCAGCTTCACGAGGTGTCAAAAGTGCATGGAACTGGAACAATTGATACAATGATTCTAGTGCATATTTTGTACTTCCATCCCCTTCTCTAGTGGCATCATTAAAATTACGTAGTAGTAATGCCATGTTCATCAGGCTACAATGGTAGTTGTATATATCATCATGCATTTCATGTTCATCTTCCTCCTCCTCGTGTGCAGAAACTAATATTGGTTCTTGCAAATTATGGGACATCTCATGCCTTCTTCTACTTGCACCATCATACACATAACTTGATTCACAGCCAGGATATCTACATGGATATTTGCCATCAGCAGTTAAAGTTTGGCTTCTTTGACATATTTCCCATTTATCCAATGCTGATACATTTTCTCTTTGTGTTTTGTAAACATTTTCATTGATGACAAACGCAGAGAGGAATTGTTTTATTACTTTATGTAGAAACTCTTGCTTAACAGTTGTAGTTGCTTCTTTGATTTCATCTGGTATAGCAGCGTTAATGGAAAGTTTATGTTCAACTGTCTTCATGCCAAAGAATTTCATTGCTGCCACAATTATTTGACTATCCAAAACTAGATGTAGAAATCTCTTGCACTGTGCTGGGTTTTTCTGTGCATCACTTAATCACATCATGCCAATTGATTTGATTTCTCAACGCAAACAGTGATGATAGATCACCTGCTGATGCACCACAATAGAACCGATTAAATATTAGCTAAAATGAAAAACATAATATTATGAACAACATATTACATATTAAAACAACATAGCTACATATATAGGGGCCATTCACACTAGCATTTGTATATTGATCCTAGATTGATCTGAGAAGCAAATGTGAGCGGTTTTTTGGGAGTCAAGACCAATCTCCATCCAATCTAGTTTTAGTTTGCATCATTGAAATGAATATAACTGGAATGCTACCTTCAGAGAAATTGCCTATCTTTTTCTCAAAGACAAATTTTACATCCAGACACACATGTCTGGAGGTAAGACTACGCATGTTTATATCAGGATTGACCGATTGAGCACTCTTCAAATGCATGAAAAGACTGGGACTGCCCTTCAAGTTGGCTTCAAATTTCCGGTTGGAGATAGCATTCCAGTTATATTCATTTTAATGGTTTGCATCCATATTTGGTTAATTAAATCAATAGCACACCTTCATTCACCAGTGCTAATTTTAGAGGATTTGTGGTACCATTGGAAATATACGAACTGCTAAAAATTTGTTTTCATGGTGCCAGTCTGCCAACTGGAAAAAACATCCTTCTAGTCTGCGGGTCTTTGTATATGCATTTCTTACAGAGAACTGAGATTCGACTCCTCTTTCGATTGTTTTCTGATCCCCAATTACAAGAACCTTGTCATATATCTCATCTTCTTCAGATGCTACCCATTTGTGAAGATCTCTCACAATATCTTCCCCTAGATTTTCATCTGTGAATATGATGCCTATGTTTACCTAAAATATGGTATTTTTGTCATTAAATGAATATAACTCATTTAAAAATTGCAGTGTCCGACATCATTAATCATTGTATGCTTGACTCTATTAAAACATAATAGTATGTCTGATTAGAACAGGAATACCATTTTGACACTACCCTATCTAATTGAAATTTATACCCCCCCCCTCCCCCGAAGATCCAGATGATTAAACTTGTCAAGGCTAGGGGAGAGCAATGGCGCTTAATGGTTAACTCGCCTATCTGACCATGTGTCTAGTTAACCCATGCATTGAGTCTCATTGCGCCCTGATGAGCCCTACTTTATTATTTCACTCTGTCTAATGCTAGATGATTTTACTTGTCAAGGGTAGAGCACTGGCACTTAATGAGTTAATATGTAGCCATACTGGAGAAAATGGCATAAAATAGAACTAATGTACAAATACATTCTTTAACCTTTTCAGATTTTCTCTTCATCTCTTCATGTGGTTAAACGTAGATTTAAGCGAAGTTAACGGCAGATGTATCTAGCAGCGGGGAGCCCCTGACGTCACTTAGAACAGTTGCAATTATCGCGCATCCGTCACTTTGCTACAGCTTGGCTAGCCAGCTACAACTGCTCTTTCGCTATGTTATAAATCTTTGCTATTGCGTGTTATTATTACTTGTTACTTTACTCAACATGCCTCGGCTGACTAGAAATAGTATGGAAACGTCAACGAGCAACAATATTGCTAGCACTAGGTCTGCTTGTCCGCCGTCGAGTACGAGTTCGCCAGTAACCAGTTCGCACGTGTCAGCGATGCAAACGAGCAATGCGGGTTCTTTACCAGTCGCTAGCATCGTCAACGACGTGGTTCAAGCATTTCAAGGTAGCTTGGAAGGCCTTGTTCAGTCCGCCATTGATGCTCGTTTGTCCGTCTCGTCAACCGCAGCAGTCACAAACAACGCTGGGCAGTTCTCGTCTCCTCCAGCAAATAACCTCGCTGAGAATGCTCCCCCAAACAATTTGGAATCGCAGACCGCAAATTACAAAACCGTTCATCCAGCTGATGGTATGGTTAGTGGTATTAATGCTCATTTATCTGACGCCAGAGGTAGGCTCGTTACTTCTTTTATTAATACGTTTGCCACGCCATCTACTTCATTGGTTTGGTCAGCTAAGAGTTCCAGTTCTCCCTCCCTTGCGCTAGCCACGGGTAGTGTGCCGTATTATTGCAACCCTAACGCTAGTAGTGGTTTCTCATCATTTATTGTTGGCCCAGGTTATGCCCCAATACCTGCAAAAACTGTCGGTGCTATTACTGCAGGGAAGTATATAAATCTGGCTGATCTTCTCCCAGAGAATTCCTACGCCGTCGACGAGTCCAACGAGCCCCATCTGCTTTTAGATGGTCGCCTAGTTTTAACAGGCATGATAAAAAAACCGCGGAAAAAGATTGTTGATATTGTTTCGTGGGTGGAGGCGTTTTCTACATATACCTTGATAGTTTGTACTTCAACCCCTCACCGTTGGCGCGACTTAACGACCTACAAGTTGTTGATTTTACGCACGTATCGCCAGTTCCAGAGTACTGCATGGTTAACGTACGACAAGGCCTTTAGACAACACGCAGCCGCTCTAAACCTTACGGACTGGTCGGAACTGAACATCCAGTTGTTCAATTTTTATACCGCCGGTTCTGCTGCGAAACCTTCTCATTCGATTCCGCAACCGTGGGTCAATCGTGTGACCAAAGGGCAAGGCAATTCAGCTGCGCTTGTAGTCTGTATATCGTGGAATCGAGGACGGTGTGTAGCCCCCACTGCATTGTGTCGCTTTCGCCATGCATGTTCGAACTGTTCGGCGGATCACCGAGGCATAAACTGTCCAACTTCTGGTAAAGCCCCTAGTTACCCGATCCCACCCAAAAGCCGTCGTTTCTAGAATGCTCTAGTACGCATCAAGTGCTCTGGCGGTATGTTATGGATATCATGTACTGTTTTAATTTCTATAACTTGGATTGTTACCATGCTTATTTGGTTGTGAATCTCAGTTACTAGGTTTTTATAATGATGACGGTTTTTATATATTTAGGGTCTGGTTTTACAATAAATGTGTTTGGTTTTGGTTTTTTTTTGAAACGCGTATGTTTTTTTTTTTTTTTTTGGGGGGGG